GGCATCTGAAAGATTAGATTAAACTTGTAACCGAAAGTACACATATCGGCAAGGAACACATTCCTTCCGATCCCAATGCCAGAAGACACAAGAATACTTCCGGAGCCAAAAGCCGACAAGTTCCGAAGAACATCCAGAGCCAAAAACTAGAAGATTACATAGATTATTTTAGAGACTAAGCATAAGCCATAAAACCAAAAGTTATGATACTAAGAATCACAAAATCTATAACCTGGCGAGAAAAACAAGAAGGTCAACCAAACTATACATTGGAGGAGAAAGAGTACATGAGCAACTAGTTGCCGGAATGTATTGCGGTTAGAACCACACGAAGAGCCATGAGCTACACGCGCTTAAGAACCAACCAAGAAGACGAAGAAACTGATTTTTGGAAAACGACTTCCAACGGCACTATGCTTTGATTGAGCCGAAACTCCTTTCCTAGAGATGAGCCGGACAAATATGCTCAATAGCAGAAAATAATGACAACTCAGTTGCACCGCCCCGATGCTCCAAAACCCAGGACAAGTACTCCTCCCGAACATAGCATCACCACAACCTGCATCTTTCCAAACCAAATCAACATATCCAGAATCAAGCGAGAAGTAGACATAACCAAACCGGATCCTTGAAGCTACAAACCATCACGCCCCAGGAGCGCGCCATTGATAGAACCCGAGCCGTCGATCGCGAACCCACCACCTCCATATCTGTCAAAAAGCCATAGATATGATTTTCCAAGTACCCAAAGCTACCAGATCTACAACACTAAACAAGTATAAAGGAAAAACTACACATCAATAAACACACACCGACCGATGTCGTGGCTTTAGAAGACCACGCACGTCGGCCGGAGAACAGATCGGAGCTTGTAGAAGATGATGGGAGAGAGCTTTTAGAGAGATATTTCTAGAGAGAGACCGCTTTTTTTTTTAAATCTTCTTGCAATATAATAAAGCTGGGATTTTTTTTCTTGCAATATAACTGGGATTTTTTATTTATAATAATTATATATTGATGATGAATTGGTGATCACGTAACATATTTTCTGTCTTTTGACGTGATTAGGTGTTTTAAAATATAATTGAGATATTTTGTCTAATGATGATATTTTGTCTAATGATGATAAATAAATAGGGAGATAGTGATCACTGATCAGTATCCACAGAGCATATTCCAAGTTTCCAACCCACTCTGTGTTTTGCAATATTAAATCTGATCTTCTTTTTTTTTTTTTGTTTAGTAAATTTGACTAAACCCATAAAAACGGTATTGGATTTTACTAAAGAAATCCGGATTCGAGTTTCCCACTTTAACTAACATTATAGACAAACAAAAAAATTAATGTTTTTCAATCTCATTGTACTGGAACCAAACCCTAATTTTTCATTAAAAAAAACACAAGATTAGAGATGTAATGAACGGATTACAAATGTGTGAATTTGAAAAGACTAGCTAGAGAATGATATACTTGGACGTGTATTGGAACAATGACAAATCGTATGTGACCTTTTCTTGGCATTTTCTAATTATTTTTCCATGATTTGCGATCTTTCACAAATATCTGCTTTTTTCTCATAATTTTGTAAAAATTAGTCTAAATTAGACAGAGATAAGTGCACCCGATTATACCCAAAAACAACTCCGAATCAGATACAACAACTTCATAGATATATGATGATTTTTATACAAAGCCTTCTTAGTTGTTTATCCCATGTCGATTAGTAGATACCAATAAAGAAAATTGTTAATAGTTTTCTTGAAAATAACCAATATGAGTCGTAACTTTAAGTACTGTAGAAGAAGAGGATGTAATAGTTGTATAATCGTGACGGCCATTGACTCTAAGAGAAAACGGTCCAATTAAGAGAAAGAAGTGGGAACGACATGGCTTTGCACTCGAACCATTCATTACGGCTGTAATTCGTGGAATATATTAGTGGAAATGATAAAGGTGCGAAAATGATATCCACATTCATTTTGTAAATCAAAAGAAAACAATGGAAAAATATTTTCTTTTATTCCCTGTAACAATCAAAATGTCTTTTAAAGGAAATTCGAAATATGGAAACCAAAAAGAGTAGATTAACATGATATCTGCGAAAAAATAACAAACGCGGTATATAGAACAAATTTTTAGATTTATCATTGGTATTTGGATTTTCGTGGAAGGCTTGGAAATCAGAAAATGAGTAGCCAGTTTGGTAAGTACTCCAACTAAAAATGTATATTACTTGTAAGCTAAAATTGTACCTACGTATTCAACTGTTATAAAGTATAACGACTAACGAGGGTTTTGCTTGAAAACGAAGTGGGGATTTCATTGAGAATTCAAAGACTTTTTTTATTTTATCTTTCAATGTATTTCTTTAGTATCCAATGAAGGTCGTTTTCTCCCAAGCAAATATCTTCAAAGGTGTTTCCAAAGTATTCGTGAATGTAACAATTTAAAAACTAATTGCATACGTAGAGAAAGAGACTCCCCCACCTTGAATATTCCCAATACTTTATTGAAATCTATTCATATGCAGATGTGAGATGGGAAGGAAATAAAATGATATTACCTAATTCTGAGAGGAATCTGATTTGATTTTGAGATGCAATAACAATTCAGTTGGTTTCATTTTTCAAGTGCAA